TCAAGTGGTAGAGCTCTAACCTTGAGCTGAAAAGCTCAGGGACAGTGCCCAGGTCTAGAGTTCAAGCCCCATGGCTGGCAAAGGAAAGGAAGGAAGGAAAGCTGGAAGGCAGGCAGGCAGGCAGATTAGCCACTCCCACTGGCTTAAAGTCTCATATACTTAGCTCATCTTTTCCAAAAAGTATATCTTTCTTCCTAGTTGAGCATCCCTACAGGAGATTAAGTATGGTGAATTTCCCAGGCCAGGCCAGTGCAGAACCTAGCATGTGAATACAGAGCCCGAGGGGTTATGGGGCAGTGGAAAGAACTTGGGGTTTGGCCTTAGGCAAGACTGGTGATTTAGCCTGGCCCTTACTACCATATGATCCTGGGCAGATTGGGCAGATCTGTCTCTTCCCCCTCTCCCACCCCCACTCTTGACTCCCCAGGTTGTGAAGGGTATGGCTTGGTGGTGATGGTGGTGGTGGTGGGGTGTGTGTGTATGGGTGTGGGTGTGGGTGGTGGTGGTGGTGGTGGTGGTGGTGGTGGTGGTGGTGGTGGTGGTGGTGGTGGTGGTGGTGGTGGTGGTGGTGGTGGTGGTGTGTGTGTGTGTGTGTGTGTGTGTGTGTGTGTCAGTTGTGGGGCCTGAATTCTGGGCCTGAGCGCTGTCCCTGGGCTCTTCAGCTCAAGGCTAGCACTCTACCACTTCAGCCACAGCACCACTTCCGGCTTTTTCTGTTTATATGGTACTGAGAAATTGAACCCAGGGCCTCATGCATGCAAGGCAAGCACTCTACCACTGAGCCACCTTCCCAGCCCCGTTATTTTGTTAAAAGGTCTCGCCTAAGACTCAGAAAATGTTCCTTTCCTTCCTCATCTTCTGTCTGACCCAGTAAGAAGACATATTCTGAGTCTCTGCTTCCAGTTTGGCCTTCTCTGTCCCTGGCTACCCCTATATCAAGCCACCCATAAAGTCCCCACCGCAACCTGGGACTGTCTTGGCTGTAATAATAGAAACATGATCCAATTGAGCCATCTGTGGAGGACACTGCCTAGAGGATGGGACTGGACGCATACCTCCAGGGCACCAGCCCTGTCCTGGTTCAGGAGCCACAGAACTGGAGCCGATGCCACCCGATTTGTGCTCACTTAACTGAGCACATAATTTGGCAGGCATGTCTTGATGGGAAGTCATGCCTGACAAACACAGGAGCCTCAAGCTACTGGGCAGACAGAGGGGAGCAGCCGAGACTGGAGCCTGCCTTGAAGGGCCTGTGTGCCTGTGTGTGTGCACGCACTTGCGCACAGCACTTGATAACCTATGCTTGTGAAGATACCTTGGGTGCCAGGGACGACGAGGGAGACCTCCAGCGGGCCAGGGGTTGGGAAGCAGAGTTGGGTTGCATGTGTGATGGGAGGGGAGAGGCAGGGCAGCCCAGCCATGCTGGTGGGACAGCTTCCAAGAATGGGCCTCCGGTGTGTGAAGCTGAGGAGGGACACGTGTGTTCTGGAACCCCTAAGTCCCAGGGAACCCACCATTGTGAGTTAATAACTAGAGTTTATCACTCTAATTTTATAGATAAGGAAAGTGCAGTTTCAAGAGTGGAAGTGACTTACAGGGAATCATACAGCCAGTGACTTGCCCATGCTGTCTTCAATGATCATTACCCACTGGTGCCACCCAGTCTGGGTTGTGTTAGCTGAATCCTAAGGCTTCTGGGCAATTCCTTCTACTAGTCTCAAGGTCAAACAGCTCGCCATAGCCACAGGCTTCCCTTGGAAAGAGCCAAGCTTCAAGCCATCTTGGTGTCTTTCTGGAGACAGGGCACCCCCAAAGACAGATGACATTCAAGAATGTATGATCTGGGCTGGACATGTGTCCCAAGCCTTGAGCTTTGAGCCAAAGGAGAGCTGGAATGTGTGCCCTTCCCTATACTCCCGCTAGAGCAAATCTTGACCTGTTGAACATGCCCCCAACTCCGTGGACTCCACCAGTAACATTCTGCTGCTGTTAATTGATCAGAATATTCATCCTTTATCTTAATTTTTTTTTTGGGGGGGGGGTCAGTCATCAGGGCTTAACTCTGGGCCTGTGCACTGTCCCTTAGCTCTTCAGCACAAGGCTAGCGCTCTACCACTTGAGCCATAGCACCACTTCCGGCTTTTTTCTGCTTATGTGGTGCTGAGGAATCGAACCCAGGGCCTCATGCATGCGAGGCAAGCACTCTACCACCTTCCCAGCGCCTTACCTTATTTTTTAAATTTATTTCAGGCCTGTCACCATTGGCTCACACCGGTAATCCTAGCAACTCAGGAGGCTAAGATCAGAGGATCATGGTTCAAAACCAGCCTAGGCAGGAACATCCATGAGATTCATCTCCAATTAACCACCAGAAAACTGAAGGAAAGTGGCGCTGTGGCTCAAGTGGTAGAGCACTCGCCTTGAGCTGAAGAGCTCAGGGACAGCGCCCAGGCCCAGAGTTCAAGCCCCATGACTGCCCCCCCCCCCAAAATATATATATATATATATTTCAGAGTGACCAAAACATATATATATTTCAGATTGATAGTACAGACATCAGTATATTTCCTAGTAGATATGTTAGCAAGTATATCAGTAACTAGAGTTCACTGTTTAATTTGCATATAGAAAATTAACATTCAGTGAAAAACACATGAGGGCTGGAAAGGTGGCTCAGTGGTAGAGTGCTTGCCTTGCATGCATGCAGAAAAAGCCAGAAGTGGCACTGTGGCTTAAGTGGTAGAGTGCTAGCTAGCCTTGAGCTGAAGAGCTCAGGGACAGCATCCAGGCTCCATGACTGACAAGAGAGAAAGAAAGGAAGGAAGAAAGAAAGAAAGAAGGAAGGAAAGAAGGAAGGAAGGAGGGAAGGAAGGAAAGTAAGTTTGTAAGGTTCATCGCTGTTGTTACTTGGCTTCTTTAGCTGAACTTTTTCTTCTTTTGGAATCATTTTAGAGTGGTAGAAAAGTTGCAAAGATAGTACAGCGAGGTCTTGTGTGTCCCACACCCTCTTTCCTCTATTAATATCTTAAACCGAATGAATTGTCAAACTAAGAAACTACCCTGAGAAATTAACCAATAATAATGCCAGGCTTGGTTAAGATTTCAAATTTTTCCAGTCTTGCCATTCTCTTCTTCCAAGGGAATCCCAACCTAGGGCTCACCTTGTATTAGGGTCATGTCTCCCCATATCCTCTGCTCTTTCCTTAGACTTTATTTTCATCACTTTGGTCATTTTAAGGAGCAGTGGTCAGGTACCTTGTGGACAATCCCCCAGTTAAATTTGTCTGATGCTTATCATTAGACTGGGGTTTGAACTTTTGGAAAGAATCCTCTCAGAACATTCTGTCAGGGTGTGGGCTAGCTATGTAATTCCCCCTTTCTCTTCCCCCTCTCTCTCCTTCTCTCGCCCTCTCCTCTCTCCTCTCTCTCTCCCCCCTCTTTTGGCTTTTCAGTCTGGCTTAGCTTTCTTGCTGATAGCCGCCACAGCCAGGCTTCCAATACGGCATTTTGCTGGTTAGAGATGGAGTTTTGTGGAGTTTTCTGCCCAGACTGGCTTTAAACCTTGATCCTGTAGGTCTCTGCCTCCAGAGTACCTAAGTGTGTAGTTGTGAGCCACTATCCTCCAGCCAGCTGTGTAATTTCAAGATAATGTTTTCCCTTAGCTCTTGGTTCAGTGTTTGCCAGCTTTCTCCACTCCAGAGTGATTCTCTATTCCTGCCGCCACGCAGGAAGCAAGTACCCAAGCCTAGCCCACCAGGGGCAGGGGAGTGGCAAGAACTTGATGCATATATTGTTTGGAATTGTTCCAAAAGGAGTATTTGTCTCATTTCCCCAATTTGTTTGTTAAGTCACATTTGTACTAAGAGGTGCTTAGTTCAGATACTGTCCGTAGAACAGTAGTGCTGGCGGTGGTGGCCCGGCCCCTCCTCCCTGAGGTAGCGCTCCTCTGTGGTCTCAGGCAGTGTGGGCTGAGTAGGATTATAGATTCCTGGGCCTGTTATGGGTCTTGGTACAGAAGAGAAGTATTAGTGTCCTGAACTGGATGGGAGGTGGGGGGCCAGGTCTGTGGTGGGAGAAGCAGGTTTGACTGGGTGGAAGTACCTATGGATACCAAGAGGTGAGATACACAGGCTACTGGTTACACAAACACCCAATTTGGGTCCAGAGGCCAGAGCTCGGGGTGGAGCATAGGCCTGGAGGTGAGCAACCCGGCTACTGCTGAGAGGCCAGGAGGTCAAGGGTGGGCTCTGAGGGGAGGGCCCTGGATAGAGCCTGGGACGCTGACGGAGATGTTGGGCAGGGGCTCTTTTGTCACTCAGCACCTGCTTAGCCCCACTGGGGGCCCAGTTCAAGGAGGTGCAATTTCTTATTCTCTTCCCCCTTCCCCAGATCCTGCTCATCTCTGACTACTTCTATGCCTTCCTGCGGCGGGAGTACTACCTCACACATGGCCTCTACTTGACTGCTAAGGATGGCACGGAGGCCATGCTTGTGCTCAAATAGACCTGGCTGGCACAGGGCTGTACAGACCTCAAAGGGGAAGGACCAGAAGCTGGGCCAAGACTCCCATCCAGAGCTGCCAGCAGGCAAGTCCTCAGGCAGAAGAGGTTTGAGTCCAGGGTCACAAATCTCTAGAACCAAAGGGTACCCTTGCTGGGAGCAAGGCCTGTGGGGAGCACCTTTGAGCACCCCACTTGGACCCCCACTTTGTGGCCCTGCACACCAAGGAATCCCTCCCAGGCAGGAGGGGTGAGCAGCAGGTGAGCAAGGCCTAATAGGTTATGGCTTCTTAATAAAATAAATTTTTTTTGTTATGAAGACATTTATTGTGGGACCATATCGCACTCACAAGGGGGGCTGGCTGGTCCCTAATACTAGGTGGCACTCTACAAGGATGTGTGGGTTTAAAAGGAACCAGGAGTCCACGGAGCACAAGTCTTCTGGTGACTGAGCCCCCTGCACCCTCCCTACTCCCAAGTAAACAGTGGAACGCAAAGGGCCAGGCAGGCCTGAGCAATCTTTATTCTGCAGAGGGACAATGTTCATGTGGAGACCAAGGAAGCCAAGGGCCAGTCTTTCAGGGGTGGGCAGGTCCAGGCAGGGGCAGAGTCTCAGGTGAGTGAGGGGCAGGTGGGCAAACAGGCATAGGCCTAAAAAAAAGACAAACCACACAGCAGGGGTGCTGGAGGTTGCTCCTCCCCACCGCCATCCCAGCCAGCACCCAGAGAGAGGAGCAGCCTCAACGGGAAGGGCCCAGACCCACCCAGGGGCACAGTAGACTGGCAGGTGCCTGCTAGCTAGGGGACCACATCCCTGCCCAGCCCACCAGGGCCAAGGTAGCTCAGTTCAGGGGCCAGGGGCTCCCTTGGCAGAGCCAGACCCAGACCCCAACTCCCAGGCCAATGCCCCCCTACTGCTGGCTCAGAAGCCGAAGGTTTCCTGGGAGGCGTAGACCATATAGAGGAAGCCATCCTCATCCTTCTCCTGCTCGTAGATGTCCGCGATGGGCGTCGACACGCTCACCATGCTGTGCTGGTTCACCAGCAGGAAGAAAGCCTGCGTGGGGTTCAGCTGCAGGCGGCGCCTGTAGGGGCGGGAGGGCAGGGTGGGTGAGGAGCCAGCCTGCTGGGGGCCTGGTCCTGACCCCTCCTTAGAGTGATTCCCAGCCTGCCCTCCATCCCTGCCTCCCTCCCTTCCCCAGCCCGGACCTCCCACTCGTCCCAGCCCCTTCCCCAGGCTTTCCCGCCTGATCTGACCCCGACGGCAGCGTGACCTTCCCCAGCGCTCCGTCCCCTGCCCCTGACCTCACCCCACCCAAGGCCCCCGCGTGCGGCCCACACACCGGATGATCTTGACCAGCTCGCTCATGTTGACATGGTCCGGGACCAGAAATTTGGTCTTGTCCAGGACGGGCAGCTGCTTCTCTCCCTTGTATCGCTCGATGATCACCTGGGTGGGACGCGGCGGGACAGCGTGAGGCCGGGGCGGGGCCGGGGCGGGGCCTCGGCAGGGCGGGGCCGGGGGCGCGGGACTCACCGGGATCTTGCTGGGGTGCTGGTCCCGGATCTGCTGCACCTCCTTACAGCGGTCGGCTGCGGACGGCAGGCGGAGGGTGAGGCCCTCCCCGCGGCGCCGCCCCGCCCCGCCCCGGCGCCCGCCCCCGAGGCCCGAGGCCCCGCCGCCCCGGGCCCCGGACGCGGCGGGGAGGCCGGCGGCCCCGCCGGGCCTAGTGGCCTCTTCGGCCGGGGTCGGTGCCTGACGTCATGGGGCTGACGTCACCTGCGGCAGTCGGGTCGGCCGGGTCCCCTCCCCAGCCCCGAGCCCACTCGCGGTCTCTCTGGGCCTCACCGAAGCTCCGCCGCTGCTTGAAAGGCCGGTCCGAGGGCATCGCGCGGGCCCGGCGGGGCGCGCAGCCGGGTGTCCGGGGCGCGCGGCTCGGGGCTGTGGCTGCGGCTCGGCGGGCGCTCCGGGGGCTCCGGGGCTGGCGCTCACGGGCTCGAGGGCTCGCGCTGAGCCCGGCGGCGGCGGCGGCGGGAGGTAACTCGCCCGGGTGACGTCAGGTCACAACATTCCTTAAAGGGGAGGCCGGCGCGCTGCTCCCATTGGGCCGACGTAAAACCCGCCCGCCCGGACCCGTGATGTCACGGCGCAGAGATCCTGGATTCACGGCGCGGGACGCGAGGGGGGCGGGCGCGGGGCGCGTCACAGTCTCGTGACGTCATGCCGGCCGGTCCGGCGCAGGCCGAGGTGAGGCGGGCTGCGGGGAACCGGAGCCCGGCCTCCCCTCTCCGGACCGCGACCTCGGGCCGCGCGCGGGCTCCGAACCCACGGAGCCAGGGGCCGAGGGATGACGGGAGAACCGAAGGCGCTGGAACGGAACGCGGGGCCTTCGAATTCCCGAGCCGAGCCGCGGCCTGACAGGGCGGGGCGGCCTGGACACCGACCGAGAGAAATCAGCCCGGGGGGCGAGGACCGCCGGCGAGGCGGCTCCGACGAAGGCCGAACGGGGCTCACGGAGAGCCCTCTGGCTACGACGGCCTGGCAGGACTGTTCGGAGCGACCCGACGGGGCTCCCTCGCCTACCGCGGGGTCAGGCCCGGAGGGCGCCGAGCGAGGGACGGCCGCCGTGGGCCACGCGGTACCTCCAAACCACCGCGGCCACCAACTGTTCATCCACGGTTTGAAGAATCGCGGGGGCTGGGAAGGTGGCTCAGTGGTGGAGCGCTCGCCTTGCATGCATGAGGCCCTGAGTTCGATTCCTCAGCACCACATAAGCAAAAAGAAAAAAGCCGGAAGTGGCGCTGTGGCTCAAGTGGTAGAGTGCTAGCCTTGAGCTGAAGAGCTGAGGGACAGCGCCCAGACCCAGAGTTCAGGCCCCACTGGTGAGAAAAAAAAAGAAATCAACTCCATTTCCAATTAACCAGCAAAATGCCGGACAAGGTACAGCTCAAGTGATTATAGCACCAGCTGTGAACAGAAAAGCTGAGAGGGCAGAGGCCTAAGCTGAAGCCCCTGTACCAGAGAATGTCTATTGTAACGTTTTCATAATAAGAAATCGGAACTCTCAGCTGGACACCAGTGGTTCACACCTGTAATCCTAGCTGCAAAGGAAACTGACATCTGAGGATCGAGGTTCAAAGCCAGCCCAAGTAGGAAAGTGTGAGATTCTTATTTCCAATAAACCACTAGAAAACTGGAAGTGGTGCTGTGGCTCACCTTGAGCTGAAGAGCTGAGGGACAGCGCCCAGGGCCAGAGTTCAAGCCCCACAACCACCACCCACAAAAAAAAAAAAAAAAAAAAAAAAAAGGAACGCTCCTAAATTTATGTGTTATGTAATTTGGACTCGTTTAAATATCATGCTGTACTCCTGTAATGAAACAGCCTCTTGCACCAATGTAAGGGAGAGCAGGCATCAGCAAACTTCTAGAGAGTCCCACAGTAAAGTTTAGGCCTTGCAGCTACAAGGTCTCTGGCTGGCAATGACTCGGTTCTGCTGAGACTTAAGGCAGCTTCAACTCACATGGCTTGTTGCACCCCAATAAAACCTTGTGGAAACAGACTTGGCCTGGGGGGTCTCAGTTTCCTCAAATGCAGAGCTGTGTCACTGTGGACACACCACAACAAACCATGAGCAGGAGGCTGTCATCAGAGCCTCTGAGGACAGCAGAAAGAACTGGGTCAGCCGCAGCCTTGATGACGGGGTTACACCTGTCTCTAGTCAGACTCAGCCCTGAGCCCAGGGTGCAGAGGGGGAGGGGTGACGGTTCTCTAGCTGAAGGCTGCACTTGGTCTTCCTCTTATCTGCCACCAGCAGGATGATGCCTTCCAGTCCTCTGCTCCCTGGGCTGCCCTGTCTTCACTGAATCCACCTTGATGTTACTTGAATGTCTGACTGACACCTTCACCTTGACCTGCCCAGAACAAACCACTGTGCTTTCCCCAAAAGGTACTTCAACTGTATGCTTCCCTGTGTGTCTTTAGGTCGTAAACCTTAGTCGAAATCCCTTTCTCTCCCATTCCATCCCCTCACCCAGTCCATCCTCAGATCCCATTGGTTCCACCTTCACGGTGGCTCTGCAATCTGACCACACTGTACCTCCATTCCTCCCTAAGCCCCGCCCACCGCCACCCAGGCCAGAGCTACCACCGTCTTGTCTGCCATAATATTCCATCATCTCCGTGGTGCCCCCTCAGTCTGGCCTCTTGCACCTGGGAATGGGATCCTGTCCTTCCTGCTCGGGCTTGCTAGGAGCCAAAGGCCCACATTGCAGCTCCCCAGCCTCATCCGCCCATTCCCCCTCTTCACTGCAGCCTGGACTTTTCTTCCCCAGGGCCGGTGTGGCTCACTCTCACCTCCTGCACTTGGCTCAGCTGGTTTACATGGTCTAATTTAGTTTGCAGCACTCATCCCCCACTTGTCCACCTATTCTTGTTCTCTACTTAATTTTCTTCCAGAGTAGTTATCACCTGATATGTGATGCTTTTAAGTTTTTTCAAGGGCTAGGGATGGAACCCAGGGCTGCATAAATGCTAGCCAAGGGCTCTACCATGGAGCAACATCCCTAACCCCTACATGATCCTACAGCACTTTATTTAGACATAGTTCAGTACTCAATCATACAAGTGTGAAAGACCACAAGCATTCCTACACAAGCATTCCTGAGGACTTAGCAACACACACACACACACACACACACACACACACGTGTAGCATGATGGCATACATCTGGAATTCCAGAGGCTGAAGCAGGATGGATCCCATTTTTAAAAAATTAATCTGATTTTTCTGCATCTCCATTTTTTTGGGGCAGTTCTGGGGGCTTTTGCTCAAGGCTAGCACTCTATCACTTGAGCCACAGTACCACTTCTGGCTTTTTCTGTATATGTGGTACTGAGGAATCGTAACAGGGCTTCATGCATGCTAGGCAAGCACTCTACCACTAAACCACATTCCCAGGCCTCCAACTCCATCTTTTGGTACATTTCAGAGCAAAGATCTGTTTGTTCTCTCCCTTGACTTTTCACATACATTTCAGTATTTTTAAGTTCTTTTTCTTCCTTTGGGGCAAAATTTACAAGGAAATGCACTGTCTGTTAAGTTTGAAAATATACATCTCCAAGTAGCCAAAAGCCTTATCAACATGGAAGGTGTGCCGGGGATGGTAGCGGGTGTGTGTAGTCCTAGCAATCAGGAGACTGAGGTGGGAGGATCACTGGAATTTAAGAGTGTGCGATCTAGCTTAAGAATGAAAAAAAAAGAAAGAAAGGGGGGAGATACAGCACATAAGCATGGCTGCTTCTGCTTCGGGCTATGAGGACTGTGAGGAAGACCAGGCCATGGCCACCCTCACTACAGAGGCTACCAACCCAGCGGCTTTTTCACCATTGTCTGGCCTGGCCTACAACTCCATATGAACAGAATCACCCAGCACTACAGCTGATCATCTTCTTCTATCACTTTGAACCACAGCACCACTTCTAGGTTGTTGGTGGTTTATTGGAAGTAAGAGTCTCACAGACTTTCCTGCCTAGGCTAGGTTTGAACCTGAATCCTCAGACCTTAGCCTCCTGAGTAGCTAGGATTACAGGTGTGAGCCACCAGCTCCCAGCTCAAAGACTGCTTCTTGATTAGATGAATGAGGTTCTTTTGCGCAGATGCACCAGTTTATTCATTCTCCCATCAATAGACAACTACTCTGCCGTGAACATTCCCATCCCATCTTGGTATGGCCATGTTCTTTAGTTTCACTTGGACATACACCAAGGTGAATTACTGGGTTGGGGGAGCAGGTATGTCTTTACTCTTAAATTACCATCCCTTTTATTCCAAAATGTTCTACATTAGAGGCTTACCAACAATAGTTACAGTTAGTTGCCTTGCGTCCTGGTCAACACTTAGTGTTGTGATTCTTTATATTTTAGCCAACATGATGTGTGTATACTGACACTGTGGCTTTAAATTTACCATGCTAAACTATTTCAAATTTTTATGTTTCTTCTTCCAATTAAAATACAAGCCCCTAACAACAGGTTTATTAATTTATTCTCCCTATTTTTGCAGTGCGGGGGACTGAACTTAGGGCCTTGCCCACGCTAGGCAGACACTCTTCTTGTCACAACAGACCCTTCCCTGCCCCACTCCTATCCAGCTGCTGCCTCTGGCTGGCCTGGGCGACCTCTCCTTACTGTGTGACCTTGGGTGGATCACATATCCTCTCTGAGCCCTTACACGCTGGCAGGCAAGCCAGGGACAGACCTGCACCCACAGTAGCTTTGCCACTTGCTGATAACCAAGCAATGTCCTTCTCCCAGGGGCCTCTGTCCACAAAGTGGAGACACATCCCTTGTGAGCGGGGCTCAGCAGCACTGCTGCACTGTGCCCAGGGATGGTGAAGCAGGAGGGCGAGGAGGACGCCATTGACCTCTGAGTCATTACCTCTGAGTAAGTTCCTGTTTACAGACACCGAGTGGAGTTTTCCTGGGGATGGAGGGCAGGGACTGCACAGGGCCTCACCATTGCACATGAAGGCCTGGACCTGCCTCTCCCTTTCCCCTGGGTCCTCTCTCCTGCCCACCCCCTCCTCACTTGAGAATGTCCAGGTCTAGCCCCACTTTCCCCAGCAACAGGGCCAGGAACATTCTTGACTATGGCCTCGAGTTCCCATCCTCTAAGCTGGCAGTCACCCAAGGGGCTCCTTCCCTGCCACCAGTCTCCTCAGCTGTGCCCTGGGCATTGCTGGGGCCCCTGACCCCCCCCCCCCACACACACACTACCCCCCACCCCCCAACCCCACCCCCCAACCCCCGTCCAGCCTCTCCTGCCGGACATGAGGCTGCACCTGTGCATTGCCCAGGCCAACTCAGCCTCCCTCCAGCCTGCCTGAGCCCTGCGTGCACTCCCCGCCCTCACTCCCCTAGGGCTAAGCGAGGCCATGGCTCCACCACGCTCCCTCTGTCAGTGGCTGCGTGCAGTCATGCACCA